CCAAAAACTCAATCGCGTATGAGTCGCTGAGGACCTGCTAGAACGAGTCAATTCCGGGGTTGGGTTTGAAAGTAAGTCGCCTGAATTTGAGGATTATGTCATTGTGGGATGGTCAAGGGGGTTTATCTAAAGCAGCCCCGTGCGATTTTTGCTGCCGGAGCAGCGTCGAAGTATTTTTAATATATTTTTTTTAAATATTGGTAATTCACTAACTAAACGTAAAATGGAACGAACATTTAACTAAATTTTAACGTTTTTGACGTTGAATCAGTCAAAGTCATCTGAAAAATGATAAAAGCGTAAAATGGTTCACTAGGCCAGCCATTTTGTTGACAGTGACAGATATACTTTACGTCATTCCTTTTTTATAAATGGTGATAGCTATAAATTATGTTTATAAATTAAAGTAACTATAAAAGTTAATATTTTGGTGTTTTATTGAGTGCAAGACCGAGCGAAGCGAGCTCAAGACTTGGGGTACCCCGACTCGGACAGATTAGGTTAGAAGGGGATGGCGGGGTCGAGTGAGCAGCGAAACAAGCGAATAGACCCCGTCATACCCTTCGTGGTTATTTTTTTATAAACCACTCAAAAGTAGGAGCCTCGGCTCTACAACCCCCACTCTTTCCCCCCACCACCCCCAATTCAGGCGACTTACTTTGAACCTTACTCCAATTCCGATCCAAAATTCATTAAACGCATTTTTACTGGTGACGAGACGTGGGTTTACGAGTTGACATGCAAACTAGTCAACAATCTTCGGAGTGGCGCCTTCCAACTGAAGCGAAACTGAAAAAAACCACGTCAAAGTCGATCAATAGTCAAAGTCATGTTGACTGTTTTCTTTGACTATCGCGGTGTTGTGCACTCGGAATTCTTGCCGGGAGGTCAAACGGTATATAAAGAATATTATTTTCTGAGTGTTATGCGTTATTTACGAAAATTCTTGGATTTTGCACCACGATATGCCTACGCACAAGGCCATCATTGTGAACGAATTTTAACCAAAAACTCAACAAATATCATCGACCAACCACCTTATTTCTCAGATAAGGCTCCAGCCGACTTCTTTGTTTTTTCTAAACTCAAATTACCACTTCATGGCATCCGTTTTCATTCGGTAGAAGATACAAAGGATAATTCGCAGCGAGAACTGATCTCAATTGCGGAAAAAGCGTTTAAAAATGTTTTGATGATTGGATTATTCGTCGGAGCAAGTGTATCGTTTCTGAAGGGGCATACTTTGAACGTTATAAAATAAACTTGGATGAAAAACTAACATTTTGTGTATTCTTGAGATTTTCCTGGTACTTTCTTGACACAGTAGTATGTAGAATATGACAGGCATGCCCATACACCTTACAAGTTTCCATAGTTAGTCATTATTTCTTGTAATACCCAATTATTATTATGATTGGTTGAACCAATCAACCAAAAAACCAATTTGGTTCATTTACCTTCTCAGAACATAACTACTATATATTTAGTATTATTTTAAATAGTGTTAAGGATAAATTAATTTTAGATATAAAGTAATTCTTCCTGTGATTCATTGTTGAATATTTGAATATTCATATTATTAATTAGTTATCAATTTAAAAAATAATCTGTATCGGTGATAACTGACAAATGATATTGATAAGTAGGTAATCAGGTATAAATATAATTTCGTTTTCTTAAAAATTAAATCGCTTGATTGCCTTTTCAATGTATATAAATTAAAAGAGTTAGACAAACAAAACTGTTGACTTTGTTGGATGTAATATTAAATCTTTACGTGGTAGAGCCGCTATACCAGTAGTATAGTTGTAGCACGAATGGGTCGGCTCGACCAGGGAAGGACCACGCTCTCGCGAAATACGTAAAATAGAAGCTTAATGCTGCTGTGTTTTATATGGTCAGTGTAGAGAACCGGAGACCCCTTTTATAGGAAACGAAGCATTCTATCTTAGTCCTCACGGGTGACAAAGCATGTGCATTTTGATTCATAGGTGAGAATTTTTTTTATAGGAGAGGGGGCAAACGAGCATACGGCTCACCTGATGGTAAGTGACTACCGCCGCCCATGAGCAACTGCAATACCAAGGGAATTGCAGGTGTTTTGCCGGCCTTTTAAAACGGAGGAAGCTCTTTTCTTGAAAGTCCCTAAGTCGTATCGGTCCGGAAAAATCGCCGATGGTAAATTATTCCACAGAGAGGTCCTACGCGAAAAAAAACTCCTAGTGAAACGTACAGTGGTGGACCGCCAAGCATCCAGATGGTGTGGATGGTATCGGGAGTTTTGCAGCGATTTTCGTTCGTAAAATTTGGCGGCTGGGATTAATCCGAGCAATTCCTCAGAGCACTCCCCGTGGTAAATGCGAAAGAAAATGCAAGGGGATGCAACATCTCTTCGCAGCGCCAGTTAATCGAGCCAATCGGTAAGGACTCGGTCGTTGACGGTTCGAGCCGCTCTGGATGCGGTCAATTGGAAGGAGCTGGCACTGGGGAGCCCCAGCCCAGAGATGTGAACAGTATTCCACGTGAGGCCGAACCTGCGCCTTGTAAAGTTGCAGGTGGTGTGTGTCGGCATGAAATACTGTCCGGCTATGCTGAGCACACCAAGCTTTTTAGAGGCCAATTTGGCCTTCTCTTCCAAGTGACCACGGAACGGAGGATTGCAATACTGGCTGAGGCAACAAGGGGAGTGCCTTGAAACTAAGGAGATACGACAAAGGGGTTCTTTTTAGCGGTGTCTTCCGAGATTAAACTGGACTAGATTTAGTCGCCCACGATCCGAGAATTTGTTCCACAAAGACTATAGGATAGATGTAGATGTCTACGGGCCACTTCAATTACTTACCATCAGGTGGACTGTGTGCTTGTTTATCACCCTTATCCTATAAAAAAATTGGATGTTTGCCCTTGTGAAATTTATTTATGTATACTGCCACGATACATGAGAAAATCCTAGTCTTGAGGTAACGTTTTTAAAAGAAGATAATAGAAAGAGAAATTATGCTTAAAACTAAAAATGATGTACTACTCGAATTTGATACGGATTTAAACGGATATTAAACAAGCTTTAAGACCTAGGAAAATACGGAGTTCGGAAAATTACAACTTATTTTGATTTACTGTCGTTCCGGGAGCTTTAACTTTAAACAACACATGGACACTTGGGGCTGAGGAGGTTTTGAAGTTTTGATATCATAGTTAACACGAGCTACCTACAGTTTACAAACCTTAACATATTTATCATGACACTTATCAAACTCTTCTTTTTCAAGCGACAGTAGCTTAATGGAGTTCGGACCGCAAACTCAGAAAGTCTTGGGTTCAAATTCGCTATTCGAATATTGTGATGAATCCTTAGATGGTACAAAGCATACTTTAGTTATGTATACTTTAAGAGTGAACCACTCTATATTATCGGGCATTTAAGTTTACTTAGAGTGGTCTAAAGGGAGTATTAGTAAAGTTAAAAGCGTTACTAAAATAAGAGTAGAGTTAACGAAAAACGAATATTTAACTAGATTTTCGGATCCGAATGTTTCGCGGAATTGAAACATGTGTTTTGTGGAATAAAATTTAGTTCATTTCAATTTTGGTAATAGCTATCCTATATATTTAAATATACGATAAGACACTACATATTAGTCGAAATGTTATCTCCTTACAATGAGGAGACAACCAATGTACAAAATAAATAGACCCGTTATTTTGTGTTAAAAGTGATAGCAAAATACAGATTATTAATTTGTATTCTACACTGTTTAAGCAAGTAAATCGTGACTAGGTTTGAGCTCAGTGTCACACATCACCAACATTCCTATCGTAATCAATTGTTTTATAATATCAGCATATTTATTAGAGAATAATGTTTTGTTATCACTGCAAACAAAACATTGCAAACAAAAAATTTACTAATATATCTATTAGGTATTTTTCGACTGCGTGTAATTATTTATACAGCCTTTTATATTAGTATTTGTTTGTCCATTAATCACTCAATAATTGATCATTTATCTACAAGTATGAATATACAAACGTCGTTACATAAAGATATCTTGGAAAGCTTTGATAAGTTACTAACTAAATGCGATTGTTTTTATATGCTTTTTAAGCCTGCAGATGCATCGAATTCAACCTGTTGACGCTCCAATATAATAATGATTGAATAAAAACCACTTAAAATATAGAATTTGATCATAAGTTTTTAGTGTGTCTGTGTATCTGTGTGTCTGTCTGTGGCATCATAGTTCCGGGAGTTTTGGCGGGAACTTGACCGGCGACGGATTGCTGCTTCTGTATTATTGTTTAAATAATGGTTTGAAGTGGATTTTGATATGTAAACGTGGTGCGATTTTATGTATTAAATGTCTGTGCATGTGAACTATTAGTGGAAACGGTGAAACAAGTGCTCTGATGGTGATGTGATTCTCAAGATAAGGTGTCTGTCTGCTTAAACGCCTTGAGATAGCATCGCCAACTGTCAGCTGTCTGCTGGCTCAAGTTGCCGTCAAAATCTCCCAAGGGCTGCACAATGTGACGCATCAACATATTGTGAAGCAGTGTACTATGAAGGATAATTATACATTGTAACTTCAGGCTCAAAAGGGCTAGAACCCAGAACCGTAAAGCCATTTATATTAAAAAAATATAACATCATAGTTCCTGAACGGATGAACCGATTTTGATTAAGTTTTTTTCGTTTGAAAGGTGTCTCATTCGAGTGTTCTTAGCTATGTTTCAAGAAAATTTGTTAAGACGTTTGAAAATCATCAGCTCTTTTGTTTCGGGGTTCTTAACATTTTAAATTTAAGTTACAGCTTTTGATTATGTAGTCTTTTTTGGATCATGATTTCGACAATTTTTCATGGTATAATCAGACCGAATTGCAGTTGATTTTTTCGGTTACCTAGCTCGGCCGTTCGGGCACATTACGACAGCAGTATCCTCTTACGGTGAAGCGTCATCCAATAGTATTAAGAAGTACTCTTTAAAATTAATGTCCTCACCTTCTTTTTTCATGCCAGCTTTGAAACACTTCCTTAGTCTACAATATCTGCATTGATTCCTTTTGTCTTTATTCACCACACAATTCCTGCTGAATCTGAAACAACAACAACAATACTTGCAATGAGTATACTTATCTACAGGTTTTTCATATAAATTACATTATTGGTGATTTTGCTGAAATAAATATATCAGCTTCTTCTGTCATTGTTACAGTATTGGCTAACTTTAAATGTTTTATTTCTAATACATGTAGGTTATTTCACAATGTTTTCCTTCACCACTAAGCACGTGTTAAATCAGCGTTAGAGTTGCAAAACTTGCAATTAGCAATTTTATTGGTGTCGGTGTATATCGAACCGGTTGCTCTCGTACTTAGAAATTTACGCCGAATGCTTCAACCCTGAACTACTGCCACAAAGCTAACTTAATTATTTAACCCTATCTGTAGTTAAGATGCTGAGTTATAATCTAGCTACAGGCACTGATGGAGGCATTTGTAGTAACCATATGCTATTCATACGCACTGCCTATCTTATCAACGTTAAGTGGTGTAGAGGCGAGATTTTTTGTTTGCAAGATTGCGACATGTAATTCTGACAGACGTTCAAACGCTTCCTTTTCGCATAAATTATTTGAATATATATTACTAATATCTTAAATACATTTGGTGACCCAACAAGTAGTTTTTTTTACGACATACGGCATACATATGGCGGAGTTTCATATCGACCGACATTTAGTTTGTTTTTCGTTAGTAAAAATAAAATGTTGTCATTAATATTGCGAGAACTTTACAAGGTAGTGGAACTCTGTATCTGTCTAAGGATCTGTCTGGGTTAATACTATCCCTTACTTGGCACTTCTGTGAAGCCTAAACCTTCAGAGGTGATGACGTATTTGTGTCAAGTAGTGACAACGTATCTATGAGTTCTTAGTGGTACGCAAAGCCAAGAGGCTTATCGGCGGCAAAAAGCTGGTGGAAAATACGCTTCACAGCTTAGCTCACCGCCGCTAAGTTGCTTGTTTGTCGGTCTTCTACAGATTGTAATTCGGATTGTGTGCCTGTGAACTTCATAAGCTCATATCGCCATTTTCATTCTTCTATCGGAGTACCAGACGTACTGAAGGTTACACCCACATTTGGTTGACATTCCGAATATTCGCACTAATAAGTCATATTTTATAAAGGGCACAGCCAAGGAGTGCGCTGCTTTTCCGAGTGCGTATCTAAATCGCCGTATTCCTATGCCGGTTCTTAACTATCATGTTTCTGTTTAAATCTTCCAATAAATGTTAAATGATACGTAACTATAACTATGTATTTCCAATAGATGATTTGAATTTGTAACTCTTCTTAGAATGAGACGAAGGTCGGTCTGGTTTAATTGTTTGATTGGTGATGCACTGATTTATTGTATGAATTTGCGCTAGATATTCATTGCATAGCCTACAGCACTTACATGCACTATCTGTACATCTGTTGCGAAATTAGGTCCATCAAGTTGGAAACTGGAATCTTCACCAACGATATCCTAAATTTTTTATAATTTTATTATGTCAATATTTAGTGAGGAATTGGTGACTATTAGTGACACAGGAAACAAATTAGTGACTTAATACTTTAATACATAAAGTCCTTTTATTGGGAGGATTCTAGCCTGAATTCGTGCTAGCAGCCTCCCCTTGATAACGCCATTAGCATTACGGTCTGCTTTTGAGATGTGATTCCTATTTTAAGATTTAGAGAGCAAGAATTGGTGACTTTCATTTACCGAGATTGAAACATTGCTCCGACGGAACCGGAGCTATTCATATGTCTTAGGGAGAATTCTGGTTTGAAGATTATATATATCAGAGAATAACTTCAGAATGCTTATGTCTTTCGCAGTGAAAAGATTAAGTGCGATTAATCGGTAAAAATATTCAAATAATCGAACATTTATATTATTAAGTAAATTATTATTTGTTTATTTAAATTTTTATTTTTAGAATTGCATAAATAATTATATAAATTATGAATTAAACAAGTTTTTTTAAATAATTTCTGTGAGTCCTACTGCGGCGAAGTTGCAAGTCAGTCATTGAGAATCATTTTAAAAGGAATTGGCTTCCGAAACAAATAAAAATGACAAACGCAAAATAATTATTTAGAGACACGAAAAGAATAATAGAAGAAGAAAGAGAGAAGCAAGAGAGAGAGAGAAATTAAAAATTTAACCAATTGAGACAACTTTATGTTCATTGATAAAACTTGGCTAGACGCCAACCACATTGTGCCGCAGACATGGATAGATGATATTCATGGGGATATTGCTCGTGGGAAAAGGTAGGCGCCTCATAATTTGCCATGTGGGATCCACCGGAGAGGGATTTGTAAAAAATACAACTACGACACAAGGGATGACTGAGCCAAAGCGATGGACAAAACAAAGAAAATGGAGATGCGTTGTCATACCAGGATGACTAAGATAGGAGGACTAAGATGGATGCCCCGTGTCCAGTGAAAAAGGTCTCCGGATCTCCGGTTCTCTAAACTCACCATACAAAACACAGCAGCATTAAGCTGCTATTTCACGTTGGTATTCTGTGAGAGCGAGATTCTATCGCGGTCGGATCGAGCCATTCGTACTATTCTAACTTAATATAGCTGCAGGGTGGGGCTACCATGTATAAAAATAAACCTAGCAAGCTAACAGCATAGCAAAGTGGCGAAGCAATCAGCTTTGTAGAGGTTTCTAACGGTTGCCGTTGAGCAATCAGTTTCAAAATAGGAGGTTCAGATGCCTGGCTGATCAGTAATCGATTGCTGAAAACAGAATTTGAAAATTCAAAACCGTTCTCGAGATAATCGTGGGGCAGACGGACAGACGGACAGACATCGTGAAATCAATCAGTGACTTCGCAAGCTTCACCACTTAATAAGTGATTTCGCAAACTTCGCCACTTATTAATTTATCGAAATCGTCAGGTACTATCCTACTGCGGCGAAGTTGCAAGTCAGTCGTTGAGAATCATTTTAAACAGAATTGACTTCCGAAACAAAAAAAAAGACAAATTATTAAAATTTATCTAAATAACAAATTGCGTAACTTAAAGGTCACGCTCATCTAGCATACAATGATGATTGTTTAAACTTCGCGCGTCAGTAAGTCAAGTACGTAACTTACATAATTACATTAAGTATATTAAAAGATACTTTTACAAAGGCAGATACACACATACAAACATAGCTCGGTGGTTCTAACGAGGTTCTCGAGTGGCAGCGTCGTACCTGTAGGCGAAGTGTGGGGCGCCAGACATGCAGGAAAGTCGATGGATGCAGGTGGCTCGGGACCGTGCTTTTTAGGATTTCTTGGGGGGGGGGGGGGGGGGACTATGTTCGGCAGTGGACTTGTGAAGGTTTGTAATGAATTAATTACAAACTTTCACAAGTCTTCTTCACTCATTAACTCTCCTTCCTTATAGATAACGAGCTATAGCCTTCATAAAACGTCTTTAGGTTTCTTGACATCTCCTTCGCTCACAGTTTATAACTGACTTTAAAAAGGAGGAGGTACTCAATTCGATTGTATTTTTTTATGTGTGTTACCACTTCATTACCTTTTTCTAGGTGAACCGATTTGCACGATTCTTTTTTTATTTGCAAGCTGGTGCTTCTCATGTGATCATCAAGATCTGAGCGGCAGTTTTTGAGTCAAAATTTTAATTTTACCACATGTTGATAGTCATACATAGTTAATAAAGTAATTATACTTTTTTTTTAATATAATATCTTATAAAATAGCTATGCAATTTGTTATAATAATATTGAATTCAACGCAATCGTTATCAGTAAATAATATTTATTGTGTACAGAGCAACGTGTGCATTAATAGGTATACTATACACTGTATTATATATCCTGTATATGCGATAAATAAGACAAAGATAGCAAAATGTACTGTTCGTAACTTGTTGTTAGTGCTTTAATGAAAGTAAATTAACCCAGTTCTTTTGTAATTGAAATACTAAACATTCAAGGCATGTTTTTGCAACAGGTGCGTAAAATATGTAATTATGAGTATGGTATGCTTTTGTTTATGACTCATCTACAATAGGTATTATTAGGTATTATACGTAAAATTTATGAGGGACAGGACGAATATGAAACGTGATCTAAAACGCAATACAAGAGTCATTAGGTACCTAAATAATAATGTATATAAAAAAGATATAAAATTATGATTGTATTATAACTATTATATTTTTTCTATGTAAAACATTCAGGCTAGCGACAGATAAAGCATAAATATGTGAGACATCGATTTTGTATTGAATCACCAGCCGTCTGTCAAGAGAAGTAATTTCAACAAATAGGTACTTTCTGCAATGGAAGAGGCCTATGTTTATGACTTTTTACGGGCTGATGAGAAGTATACTTATAAGCATACTTATTATTTACCAACAGCCCCCAACATTTACAGTTCAATGCCAGATGGTTGGGAATTGATGCAACTTTTGTTTTGACACTAATTGTAGGATAACGCTCTTCGACTTTGTGGAGTGTGGGGGACGGAAGTATTTTTACATGAATATTCTATTCTAATGTCAGCAACATAAAACTCTATGCAAGAACAAATTTACATCTCATTTAAAGTAGCAATCGGGTTCTTAATGGTAAACACGCTAGCCTAGAAGGTGCTTATTCACTTTTGTCTTGACGGTGTCGTAAAACTGAAATTCAATCGGAAAACCATTGAAGTATGATGTGAGAAACCTGAGAATATGACTCTTGCACGCACTCCCCGGAATGTATACCATAGAATACTGATAGACTTGCATAAATCTACACTTGTTCTCGAGACTACAGCTTAAACTCAAATAATGAAATAGCACATATATCACAGCTTTGATATAAGTTTTCTTCATCATCTGTGAAATTCATTAGATAGTGGTTAACAACATTAAAATAATAAAAATACTTAGTATAAATTTGGCTAAATTAGTAGATGTACTAATATGAAATACTAATTTTCTTTAATTAAGGAGTTTGAAAGACGTTAGTAGACGACGTAAGGCCGTAGCAGCGAAAAGCACGAATAATTCGGCTCGATCGGGGAAGAACGTGGTCTTTAAGGACTTACGCACACCGTAAAATAGCAACATTGTTCTTGTGTGTACCGTATTGTCAGTTACGAGAACCAGAGATCCTTTTTTCTGTTGGTTCCACCTTAGTCCTTAGGGGTGACTATGTACCTGCATCATAATTCTTAATCAAGCATAAAATTTAACCTTATAATAGGCGTGTATACTATGTGCTTGTAACAACTCAACTTGTACAAAAAGAGTTCTTCAAGCCAAGGCCTATTAACACTCACCTGCACGTGTATAAGTGATTTTTTCTAACGCTTCTTCTGAAAAAGCCTTTGCAACCGTCGCATGAAGACGCGCCGTAATGCTTTCCTGTTGCCCGGTCACCGCAAATGGCACAATGTTGCGACAAAGACGTAGAACTGGCGGCACTCGTTTCACTACTGCTCGTTTCTAACTGCATGTCGCTGTCTGCAACAAGCAAAATTCATTGTGAACAAAACAAAACTTTGCTACAAAAAGCCGGCATCTTGTAGTCAACTGAATTAAAAACATATGTTGTTTGTTGATTTAGCGGAAAAGCTTTCGATAATTAATCACAACAAAACAGCCAGTGTAGTAGTAGGTCGTGTAAGAATCACTGCGAGGGTGCTGGGGGCAGCAACTACCCTCAGGACGTGATATTAGTGTAGCAAAGCGATATATGACCCCTGGTATACGCTGATGGTGACCACCGTGGGGTTTTAGCAGGTAGGAGTCCAGCATAACCTTCTGGTTGCCCCCGCAACGTATGGTATCCATGATTTTTTTTTATAGTATAGGGTGCCAAACGTGCACACAGTCCACCTGATGGTAAGTGGTTGCTGTGACCCATAGACATCTACATTTATCCTCGTTTACGAATCAAAATGCAGATGCGTTGCCACCCGTGAGGACTAAGATGGAATGCCTCTTTACCAGTAAAAAGGGGTCTTCGGTTCTCTGCACTCACCATACGAAACACAGCAGTGGTAAGCTGCTATTTGACGCTGGTATTCTGTGAGAGCGTGGTCCTTCCCCGGTCGAGTCTACCCATTCGTGCTACAACTATACTACTAATATAGCTGCAGCATGGCTCTACCACGTAAAATGATTTCCCCATGAAAAAAAAGGTCGCATATAATTAAAGAATATCTACTACTCCATATTTTGCTGTGGGTGTCGAGTACGAGTAAGTGACGACAGACGGAATAACACAGGAGATTTGGAGCAGCATCTTCCCGATAACAACTCAAAATATTAAAACACTGCGATTGCCAACTGTGCAACACGAGTGCGAAGCGTGGCAACTATGGCAAACCCCTTCTAAATGTACAAACAAATATCACTTCTTTACAGTTTGCCTCGTGTAAACAATAGAAAGTATTTTGGCTGGAAAAATTTGTATAGTTTTTGCTGGTTGCTGGGTGTTTAATTTTTTTTTTTTGATATTTATATGGCGTAAAAATACAGCAATTTATTAAACTAATAAGTAAAAATTTATTCCATGTATTGCACCTGATCTGACCAGGTCTGACAGTGTATATATGTACTATATATATAGGCCAAACCGCTAAACGTAGAAATTTGAAATTTGGACAGTAGCTCCCTTTATATGACTTCCTGAAAGGATTTCGGAAAATTAAACCCCTTAAAGGGTGAAATAGGGTGTTACAGATTGTATGTTTTATTTTGCTCGGTGATAGTTATTTTTCCTTTTTTTCTATAAAGTTATCCCCACACTAGGATTTTATCCTGTATCGTGGAGGTAGTTTACAAACATAAATTGCATAAGGACAAACATCCAGACCCGGAACAATTATTAGTAGGCCATACAAATACTTGTTCCGTGCGGGATTCGAATCCGCGGCCCCCAACGCAACAACTCATTGCTAAGCCACTGCACTACGGAGCCGTCAGATTTGAAGCATAAGTACTCTGTAATTAAAATATATGATTTTAGCGATTTTCAAAACGAACAACCCCTTGCGGGAGGGCCGGAGGGAGTCCAAATTTGTATGGAGAAAAATAATTCAAACTTTTTTTTCATTTTAGAAAAATTAACAGTGGTAGAGCCACGCGGCAGCTTTTATTGTCGCACGGATGGGCCGGCTCAAACCGGGGTAGTACCACGACCTCACAGAAAACCAGCGTGAAGTAAAGGTTTACCTCTGCGTTTCGCTTGGTGAGTGCAGGTGGCCGGAGGCCCTTTTTACTGGAAATGAGGCATTCCATCTTGGTCCTCACGGGTGGCAGCGCATCTACATTTTGATTTGTAACAGAGGATAGATGTAGATGTCTATGGGCCGCAGCAACCACTTACCATCAGGTGGACTGTGTGCTCGTTTGTCACCCTTATCCTATAAAAAAAAAAAAAAAAAAAAACCTTGTATATAACAACTCTTTTTATACAGTTTGGTTTAATAAAATATTTAAAATTACTAATAGAGAAACCTTGTATATTTTCTGGATAGTTTACCAAGTATACACTAGAGTTCTGAGAGAGAGTATATATTAGAGTTCCAATAAGCTTTGAGTTTTGAAAGAAAAAAGTCTACTCAAAGTAGAGCGAATATGTAGTGGCAACCAATTTCACGAGTGCACAACTGTAACAGAAAATGATTTATTGAAGAAGGAGGATGAATGTACTGGATTAAGAAGAGAATATTGTTATAGTGGTTTTAACTACTCGAAAGGCCTTAGGTTTAACTAAAAATATGCGCTCATTCTATTCCGAAATATGACATAGTTACTTTGTGTCTAGCTTGAGCTTTCCGTATTATACGCTCTGATAATGAGCGTGGGGTAATGACTGCCTGGACGTTATACTAGTAACTTGGACGCGAATATTTATTTAAATTATTTATATTTATTTTATGTAATTATTAGCTTTACGTTTAAGCGTTTGTTAAATTTAAATCAATATTTAATTATTATACTAATATTTTTTCTTATGAACAAACGTTTTTTAAGGTATGTACTCAAATAGCTGTCAGATTAAACATATATGGTCACTGGCCTCTATTATACTTACGCTGGACTGGCTATAAACCGTGACACAATGAGGCGATTTGATTTTCGCCATTTTAGCGCTGATAGCAGAAGTGAGCGTCCAGGGAACTAATAATATAGATAGGATAATGACAAAATATATCCATAAAAATTCTATACCCAGGCCTCCTATTCTACTAATGTATCATTTTAATATATTGTGATCGTGTTAGCTCAAGGGCTAAGTACTCGATGCGAATTTCACAGTACGCGAGCAATCCGACCGTTCATTTCGTCCTTGTAATTGTGAAAATCAATAGGCTGTCAAAATATTATGCTAATTTCAACAATAACTATCGGTACAATTAAAATTTTACAAACTTTAAATTAAAGACTACAATAGCACAAAATAAATCATTGACGTCATAATCAATTTGATTCGGACGCCAATTTCACAAGTTTTATGATTTTGAAATTGTGAAAAATGATAATTTAGTCAGTTGAATACCAAAAAGTTGTGTCAAAAAAGGTACGTATGGCAATTCATAATGCTGTGTTAGTCCCTATTTTAATGTATGGTAGTGAAAGTTGAGTCTGGCAGAAGAAGCACGAGAGTAGAATAAATGGTGTAGAAATGCGGTCATCAAGGGGTACGCTAGGGATGAATCTGAATGACTAGGTGAGAAATTGTGTGATAAGAGAAAAGTGTGGTTTGCAAGATGACGTTATGATTAAGAAAGGAATGCTTCGGTGGTTTAGTCATGTAGAAAGAATGAACGAGGAAAGAGTGAATTTATGTTGCAGAAGTGAACGACAGAGTCGGGAAGGGACGCCTTAGATGAAGGTTTTTTGACTAAATTGAAAATATGTTGAACTGGGCCAGATTAGGAGTACGCTAGAGAGGTGTGTCTGGATCGTGCCAAATGGAAGTGAGTAGTCTCTGCCTACCCCTCTGGGTGACAGGCGTGAGTGTTTATGTTTATATTTGTTGAATACCTGTAAATTAATAAATATTTGATAATTACCTGTTGCCAGCGACTTTCATTGTTGTAAACAGATATAGGTAGAAAAAACATTGATAAGTATTATCGACAAGGAACTCGTCAACACTATTGAATTTTATTGTTTATCAAAAATGGGTAATTTAAAGCCAAACATGTTAGTAATTACAATTAATAAGATAAGAAGGGCCAGATTTTTAAGAGCCTATATTATGAAATAGGTTTTTCTTAAAATATAAATTGTAAATCCCTTACTTGTGGAATGTTTACCACACTTCCCTTCTCGTAACGAATTTTACATTATCATTGTTACTAAAATCCTTTTTATTATATTACTAATATGAAACATAACCGAACTATACAACACACAATCTTTCTCTCGTTTAAAACTTTAAAATGCTTAGACTTTTTGAGCAAAACAACGGCCATTTGCAAATTATGTCAAATTTAGTTCCTGGTACAATCAATGGCGGCACTTCAAATAGGCACAAATGTTTTATAGGGCTAGTACAGCATATTAGTATATAATGGAGGTCAGTGTAAATGGTTGATATATGCCTCGATTAAGTACCTAATTAACGAAATGGCCACGAAAAGCAGGCTGATACCATCTAACGTGTCGTCACTTGTAAAAATAAATGGATGTTTTTGAACATGACTTTCATTATGATTCATATGATTAAATAATTTTTTAATGATTTTAAAAATTAGACCGAGTGTGGTGACGCCCAACCAATTGTGATGATTGAGGCAATTAATCCATGGGAACCGGAGAGCACCGGGAGAGGCCCAAGTCCAGCTCGTGGACAAGTTCACGAAGAAGTAGAATTTTATAAACTTAAATTAATCCAATTCATAAAAACTGATGTTGAATTAATAAACTCGAAATTTTCGAAGTGATTTGTTCGTCGCTATTATTTAACGACCTAATGACCAATGAAATAATAAATGTGTTAATATTGGTTAGAACAAGATATTATGAGTATTTAGGTTAGAGATCTTACTAAGTAACAACAAAGTACTTAAGATAATATAATACTAATGGTTATTTTGCTTTACTTAATATATATATAACTGAATCTACATATGTATTATTGCTACACTAAAGCCGCACTGAACGTGTTATATTCTGTAGTATTTTGTATCAATATGAATATAATTTTTCTAAATTTATGATATTATATATTATATACGTGGTAGAGCCATGCTGCATCTATATTATGGTTATAACACGAATGGGTCGGCTCCACCGGGGTAAGGCCACGCTCTCGTAAAATAGCATCTTAATGCTGCTGTTCTGAATGGTGAGTGTAGAGAACCGGAGACCCTTTTTTAATAGAAACGAGGCATTCCATCTTAGTCTTCGGGGGTGATAACGCATCAGCATTTTGATTCCTAATCGAGGATAAATGTAGATGTCTATTATGGGCCACAGTATCCACTTACAATCAGGTGGACTGGGTCCTCGTTTTTCACCTTTATTCTATAAAAAATTTAAGTGCTGATAAATAGCTATATACTACTTATACAATAAAATGATACATCCATTACAGCCTATAGAAGTCTACTGCTGAACACAGGTCTCCCCTATAGATTGCCTCATAGAGGGCATTTTGCCACAGTTGTTTATTATTTTGTGTAGTTATCAAGAAGATGCTGCTATCCATCTCCATCCAAATGTTATTTGATATGTATTATTGAAGTGTTTTATTGATTTTAACTATGCTAATATTTGAAGTATTATTTAATTCGTAAATCGTTCTTATTCGATCATCGGTGTACATAATAAGGTAATTGTTACCTAAATCTAAATATTCATTTGACGTGAAATTTCTTTGTATCTGGTATCTGGTAGCAATTAAATTTGTTAAAACGTACAAGTCGTCAAGTATCTTTTATTTGAAGACAAGCCATGCTAACCACTTTTTCTCAATCGGTTCATGTGAATACAAGAATCTTTTAGAATCTAGACTTTAGTTTTCTTGAATTTTTTTTTATAGGATAGGGTCACAAACGAGCACACAGTCCACCTGATGGTAAGTGGTTGCTGTGGCCCATAGACATCTACATTTATCCTCGTTTGCGAATCAAAATGCAGATGCGTTGTCACCCGTGAGGACTAATAGAATGCCTCTTTTCCAGTAAAAAGGGTCTCCGGTTCTCTACACTCACCATACGAAACACAGCAGCAAGCTGCTATTTGACGCTGGTATTCTGTGAGAGCGTGGTCCTTCCCCGGTCGAGCCGACCCATTCGTGCTACAACTATACTACTAATATAGCTGCAGCATGGCTCTGCAGGTGGACTGTGTGCTCGTTTGTCACCCTATCCTATAACAAAATATTTATAACGTAGGTCACTCTTTGCGACAGTGATAATGAAACCTCGATTTTCATGATGGCGATAACCTTTCCATACGGTAGGATGTTATCAATTTAAGTAACAGCCTATATACGTCCCACTACTACTGAGTACAGACATCCTCTCATTTCTGAGAGGGTTTCAGGGTTCCTTGCCTTGGTTTCATGTTCGCCGCGTTGCCCCAATGCGTGTTGACGAACTTCACATATCTTCGAAATACATATTTACCAAGTGTACAGGAAAACCTAAAGCGAAGTAAGTGGTTCCACTAACACAATCTTCATTCTATTCTATTCCGGCGGGGAACCAAACACAGGATCCTCGTCTCAATAGTGAAGTATTATGATCGCTTAACCTAATAAATATTACAGAGCAGAAACAACTTTTATTTATTGCATGTAATTTAATGTATGATATGATTAGGTTTGACCGTGAGGGCAATTGATATTATTTGAATGACGTTGCGATTCTAGACGTTGATAAGTTTAGTCTGTCGGAGAAGAGTAATGATACGGTGTACAGGAACTTCGCAGTAGGTATAAAATCGTAAATAAAAAATATAAATGGATATTATGCTTTATAGGTTAGCTAGTTATCCATATTAGAGCCTCATTGGTCTAATGATTGTAAACACGATTACTGATGATGTGGTCTCGGGTTCGAATAATCAGTCTTTGGATTTTTCGTATCGGTTTGTCGCTTCATCTTACTATGAGAGTGAGAGAATAGAGAATGCACCTGGATTTGTGTACAATTATCAAGCTCTGCACAGATAGTCTACGCTAGTCTACGCTATTAGTGGTAACCGTCACCGGAATTCGGTCTGGTGTACAGAGTACATTATTATTATTCTTGACAGATAAGACAGCCAAAGAACGGATAAAATAACTCAAAATAAAAATGTTTTTTATTAACAGGAAGAACAATATTTCGCGAAATTGCACAGATGATGGGATTTACCTGCTGCTGCTTGAAATTAACTTAATGCCTGTATAAAATTACCTACAAATAGTTTTCCTCGTAATATGTGGTTATAAGTCGTTATTCAAACATCGGCCACGTTAATTCTGAGGCAAAAAGTTATGGGCTAGTATTAAATGAACATTAACGTGTTTACTTTGTTGATAAAACTAATTTTGAATGAAGCTAAATGTTAACAGCGATACAAATAAAAACAATTAATGTTATGTATCTGTTACAAATAAGCAATATTGAAAAAAACAACTCTTGTGCGAGCTCGTTAGTTTGTTATAAAATGAAATTATAGATAAAAAGATTTTGATTAATAAAATTTTGATTTAAATGTAAACAAACCTTCTTTGTTGCTGTAAATACTTTCTAGCGTGTTTAAGCGATGGTAATCTTCTGGAACACTTTTATATGGGTGCACTGGGTATGGATTCATAGCGGTTTTGTCCCAAAGGTGAGGAGTTACCGACAACATGTATTCCGAGGTATAGTCCATCGCGCACAATTCCTGCGACGATGCCATCTCGCAGGCGAACACCGGCATTTTCCTATGACCGCGTGGAGCAGAATGTCACCACTCGTAAACTTTTATCAGTTAGTAACCGTCACAAACACCTGATTCGCTATCAGAAGCGCCGGTAGATAATTTTCACTGCGCGATTAGTGTACTTAATTCGACAGGTGGACGAATACGTCCAAAACGGTGATTTTTATTTGACTACACAATTTGTTATGAAAAGACACTAATTTTAACCGTAAACACTACCACATTTTTACTGAGTGTGTAAAATTTTAAATAGGCTATGACTTGAATATGTTCAAGTCATAGTTATGTTTTTACTTTTCGTATCACAAACAATGTCTAATAACACGTGGTTGATATCGCGGTGTGCGGGTCACAACAACTCGGATAACAACACGACCTTACTCAAAGACGATTCCGACCCAACTGAATTACTGAACTGACGAGCAAATATTGAGTGTTACGACAAATATCTACCAATAACCGCCTTAATGCCTGCGAAAAATTGCTGACAACAACTGCGGCCTATGGGCATGAATGAACATTCGATAAATCGATCAGCATGTCGTCCAGTGCAACTGGTCCGCTGAGTCACTCGTTATCGGAAATGAAGCGGATATGGAGACAAATGCATTGTAAACATGGAGTCATACCCAACAGCTGATGACCAGAAGCAACAGCCATATAGAGAACGTTGTACATAAGCAAGTCTACCGGATGACTAATTGATTGTCACGCACGCTCGCTTTGTTTCTTTGTCATGATGTGCATTTTACATGCGCAATTATCTTTTCGGATACAGATAGTATTTTAGAGGTTCGGTTCTCTACTGTTAGGTTATGATAGTGAGTATAATCAATACGAAATTCAATCGTATGTTAATGACAGTATTGTTATAATGCTGTTTACAGAACACCATTACTCTCTACCGAACTACAATCTACAGTCTCAAAATGTACATAGCTTTCTGAGAGAGTACTAAGTACGTTATACTATGCTTACTTTGCTTTTATTATTTTGGCTGTTTTAATTCAAAATTATATCTAGTAAACGATATTCGAAAGGCTCGATATTTGCGGAGAAGCATCCGGACCGATACGACTTTGGAACTTTTAAGAAAGGTCTATTCATTTTAAAACTTGTTTTTATTCTTTTTATTGTATGCCACAAATAAATAAAAATAAAGCAACAAGGCCTTCAGTCAAAAAGAATACAGAATACATCAAACGCTTTACATTTTACAAAGTATAAATATGTTATAATTTCTTCATAAAAAGTTGATGGTGCTCAAAAACATCGCAACGTAAGTACGTAAGTACGTACAATTAAAAATTAATGCGTCTCGATACGATATTTTTAGGAGATTTGGTGGCAGCTTAAACGAGCGTCTAAATGGACGAAACAAATTGAGGTTTATACGAACATTGATGTATTTGTTTAGTCGTTTCCTCTAATAGACCATAATTATGCGTAGATCTATATTTACACAAGATCACACCATTTTTACGCATTAAAATCCGCTTCAAACCATTATTGAAACAATAAAAAGGAGAAGCAATCAAGCCAAAACTCCTCCAAATTTGTGCCTGGAAGGAACAGCCCTGTTGTGGCGGCGCGCGGGGGAGGAGGGGCGTTGGTAGCCGTAGCTTGGTCACTGACGGTGAACAGTGAACAAAGAAGAACCCACTTAGGTGGCCCGAGTTGTAGGGCCGACTTGAGGTGGTCGCTCCGAGTGGATTTGGGTGTCCTCTCCCCCTTCCCGCCGCAGCCAAGGTATAGTCACAGGGGAAGAGGAATGTTAGTAGACGATGCGCCATTCACCCTTCCTCCGCGTCTCTAGCGGGGCCGCAACAGTGATGCGGTGGTGGTGGGGCCGCGTGGGGAAACGAGTGTTGGTATTGCGAAGGCTAGGGAGAGCGGCTCTCCCTACCCTTCGCGGCTGAAAATGGGTTAGCAGTGGTACCACATACCAGATCCGCCGCTGGGATCAGGAAAGCTCGTGCTTCCAAGTGCTCGCCTTTTCCTGGCCCCATGGCCCCCGCGTGTTGGGCTCGGGGGCATTCGTTGCGAAGGTGGAGTTAGAGGCCTTGTGTTCCTTGTGAACCGCGGAGATAGTTTCATTTCATTCGGTGACAGAATGACGTTTAACAAAATATTTTACTAAGGTATTTATTGATTTTGTGTTTATTACAAAGCTAAGTGTTATTGTTATTGATATTTTTGACAGAACTGATCTGGTATTTGAGGAAAAAGTTCTGATAAATAAATTAATAGATAGTGTAATATTGTTAGTACGTAATAATTTAGAGCGTCAATTTCACACTTTGTTCGTTTGTCACTGCAATTAAAAAGAACTGGACATAAAGTACAAAAATTTGAAATGGAATTTATGAAAAAAAATTAAGACTGTTAAAAAAGGACAACTTTTATGTAGAATGTCTAACATGTAGATCAATGCATTAAGAACAATGGTGTGTGGATAAATCCCAATTATGGCCTTGACTCTCTCTATACGTGGTAGAGTCCTGCTGCAGCTATATTAGTAATATAGTTGTAGCACGAATGGGTCGGCTCGACCGGCGAAGGACCACGGTCTCACAGTAAACCAGCCTAAAATAGCAGCTTAACGCTGCTGTGTTTCGTATGGTGAGTGTAGAGAACCGGAGACCTATTTTACTGGAAACGAGGCATTCTATCTTAGTCCTCACGGGTGACGACGCATCTGCATTTTGATTCGTTATTGAGGATAAAGGTCTATGGGCCACAGCAACCACTTACCATCAGGTGGACTGTATGCTGGTTTGTCACCCTTATCCCATAAAAAAAAATCTGGCGAGCGTAAGATTAGAAGGATTTAAGCGGTCCTACTGATTCATACTAGACTAAAGTGTACATGTAAATAAGTTAATGCGACAACAGTAGGCGAAATGGGCAGTGATTTGGAGTAGATGCGGTAAACAGACGAGCAATCGCTTCGACCGGGGCAGGTCGGGGTCGCGGCTATCTCGTCTGCGTGCCGGCGACGCGACGCGGATGTCCAATTGAAATGGATGTCTTTCATCTCTAATACTAAATACGATACTAATATTATGTGAGTGCTTTCGGTATAAATATGCTTTTTATAGAAGTAAAGGTGCAAAACGAGCACACACTGATGGAAAATGAATGGTGTGGCCTATATAAACCAACATTTGTTCTCGATTAAGAATCAAAACACCGACAACAACAACCAACTTCAGTATACCTATATAAAATGAGAACATTATCAATGTAGTCGAAGTCAATTAAATACGCATTATTAAGGATAACTCAAAAACTATTGGTCAGACTTAGATCAAATTTATATGGAACCACATGAGAAGCACCAGCTTTCAAATAAAAAAAAGAATCATCAAAATCACCCTGAAAAAAGTTCTGAGGTAACACAATTAAAAATCAAAAGTCTAATTGAGAACGTCCTCCTTTTCTTGAAGTCGGTTAAAAGGTCTTCGGTTCTTCTTACTTAGCATACGGAACATAGCAGCTATCTCGCTACATACCCCCTGTTATTTCAGACTGGTATTCGAGTGCGACTGTGTGATCCTTCCCTGGTCGCACCGACCCTTTTGTGTTACAGACATAATACGCTGCAGCATGACTGCCACGTATAAAACGCACAGTATATTTTTGTTTTTAAGAAATATTTTGCTTCGTTTAGGCTATAAAAGCTAGATGACCGTGTGGTCTAGTGTCAGAGTATGGCTACAAGGCTAGGACTCAACTTAGAGTTTAAGCACAGTCGGAGCCGACTAAAATGAAATTATCACTTATACAAAGTAATTTGTGGAATGTTTTATTATTTGTCTCTGTGATAATTTATAAAAAGATTTACGCAGTAACGGAATTTGTGCGATAAGAGAACCTTCGTAGGATTTGAGGGCGCTGGTGTGAATAATGTATAATATATTATAAATAGCGTTTCATTTTGTCATTAAGCAGTCATAAAATGAACTAAGAATAATAATAGTTTAGAGACATGGTAGCTCAAGGGCTTAGCGCTAGATGTAAATTTAACAGTGCGCGAGCAACCCGGGTTCGTTACACGCCGGAACCAGCGAAATTGTTAATTGCAATTTTAAGTGCTGATTTACCACGTGCTCGGCGGTGAAGGAAAGCATCGTGAGGAAATCTGTTTTGGGGCAGCGCGGTGGAATTTTCCTTGCCCTAAAGCCCTCTCAAAAATGAGAGGAGACCTGTGCCCAGCAGTGGGACGTATATAGGCTGCAACTTCAACTAAACTTTAATAGTAGTTTATTTATTCAAATAAGCCTACTTAAAACTATTTGAAACTATTTTTTATACAATAAAATATATTTATATTACTATCATAGAATTATTACGATTACTATATTTACGAATGTATGTATGATTTGACTGTTTTGGTATTAAAGATTTTAAAGAATTTTTAGAAAAAAATTCAATGTCACTTATCGTTGCTTCCGATGTGATCTCATCGGATTCAGATGTTGACAGCTATGTAAAAAATTTTATATTGTTCAATTTCGCTTGATTATCATAATATATAACATTTTTATTATGTAATCTAATTACCGTAAAACGGGGTTACTTTGCGAACGGGGGTAATTTTGACGATAGCTAAACTTGTTTTTTTCGGATTTAATGCGTGATACTGAACGCAACCAAAATTTTGTTTGTTCTGTTGGCCAGACTGACATGTCAGCCATGTTTTGCCGAAGCGTCGACTATTAGCTGTTGTCAGACGCAAATATAAATAATTGTTAAACTTTAGTGTAAAATAGCATTAAAAAATTTGTATGAATAACTTCAGAGGCACAATCGTAAGTATTATTGTTTGGTTTGTAGTATTTCGCTGTATTAATTGTACGTTTCTTTAAGATAATGTTTGCATTTTTGGTTACGGCCGCCATTTTATTTTGCATGAACACTAGTTTACCGGGACTACATTGATAGAGTATACGTAGGAGACTTTGATAGTTATATCAATTTCACTCCAGTGGTGG